CAGCAAACCACAGCGGGACACTGGCACGCAAGCTCCATGAACTCATATTCATAATACTTCAGACAAACCTGCAAGAAAACCAGCATAATGGGCAGATAAAACACTCAGGCACCCACATTTAACTGCTTTCAGCTGTGGCGCTCGAATACCTCCACTCAACTTACAGTTTAGCTCCTATTGTGGTTGAGATAGTGACTCTAACCACAGACACCACTTCCAGAGTGATATATTGTGCACGCTTCATGCAGAATATATGTCAAACTTTCATAAGGAGATATAAGTTAATGGGATGTGGGTTAGACAGTCTGAGTGGCACACTTACCTCAAGCGAGTCCCCCGATATCACCAGAGCGCAGTCATGCTTTCTCCTGAAAGCGTTGAGCTCCAGGTGGGCTTCCCCTCGTGTTGTCACCTATACCAATAGCAACCACATTGTTAAATGCACTTGTATGCCCCAACAAAACACTCTAATGTAGAATTATCACAGGGGAAAATCTGCCAGGCTTTGCATGTTTGTCTCTTTGTTATCAGGCAGAAGAAGGGAAGCTTGTCTCTCTCCAACTGCAGCAATGACAAATGTTAGAGCAACCAAACACCAAACACCTCACACTCGTGAGGTGTGTGACTGAGGGGGCGACCGTGGCTCAGGGGGCTGGGAAACGCATCTGTAACCGGAAGGTCGCCGGTTTGAGCCCTGGGCTCTCTGTCTTGGTCGTTGTGTCCCTGGGCAAGACACTTGACCCTACCGCCTACTGGTGATGGCCAGAGGGGCCGATGGCGCAATATGGCAGCCTCGCTTCTGTCAGTCTGCCCGCAGCTGTGGCTACGACTGTAGGTTGAGTGTGTGAATGTGAGAGTGAATGAATAGTGGAATTGTAGTGGAATTGAAAAGCGCTATATAAATGCAAATGTTTAATTTATTCAACAGCACCATGTAGCTACTGAATAGCAAGTATAATTCGGCATATAGGTTCCTATCTCTACTTGTGTTTGAAATAATATTGGAGTGACAATTAAAGGTTTCTGTGGAGCCTACAGGCAGATATCAGGTTGATGTAGGGAATAGAAGTAAAGAGCAGGATGAGCCTGAAACTTCACTAAAGCCTTACTGTTTCCAACCATCAAGTTCCACTCTATATCCCCGCCTGTCCATCCTTACAAAATATCTTTAGTTACGATTATTAATTGAGAGGTCAGAATCAAATACTGGTGACACAAATTGAGCATCTGACCAAATGTGAAATATTGCTCTACTGGTGAATAACTGCACGATTTCTTTTTCTTGCAGAACAAGATGATGCCACAGTGAAAGTGAGCATTTGGATACAAAATGTGCAGCACAAAGCAGATGAGAAGAGCACAAAGACAGAGGAGGTGCAGCCAAATAATCAACTAAAAGACACCGCACACACTGAAAATGCAACTGTTAGACAAGTGTATAAAACTTTACCATAAATAGATTGTGAATTCTTGAGTTTAGGCCAATTTTGATCTTGTACCTCAAGTACAGCTACATGTTTTTGCCACATGTAATTACTAAGAACATTACGTCAAAGCGACTTTGACCTTTTCCTGTGAAAATATAAATAGTTTTTCTCTGAGTCCAAGTGAGTATAATTCATTAAATTCCACCAAAGGTATCAAAAGCTATTGCATTTATGAGAATGGGAGTGACACACGACCTGAAAAAGAAGTAACTGAGTCCACAGATGCAGGCAAGGCTGGTACAAAAAACCTTAAAATTGTAATATTAGAAAATATTAGAAATATTAGAAAATTTTAATATCACAAAAACTAGACTGTAAACGACTGAACTGAAAGTCCATAAGATCATTCAGATTAAATTAAAAAGTAAAATTATTGACCTTTTAGCTGAGCACGGTGTCTTAAAGAGGCATGTGTTGACACAAAAAAGGCATAAGGTAATTTCACCCTATTGTAAAAATGTTTTTAAACTTACCACGGAGGAGGTTAAAATGAAAATTATGCATAAGCAAATTATTCAGGGTTTGTCCTTACATTTGCACACAACTACACTGTAGTGTATTGTTGATGTATTACAATGCAAATATTAAAAGGGTGTGTTAAAAGAAAAATGGAAAGGGGAAACGGGATAATATCCTGCATAAAAAAATTGAAAACATAAACAGAATTTCTTTACAGTTGTGTCAGGTTCAAATATAGACTCAAATTCTCCAAAAATTCAGCACCGACAAGGCATGGTGTTAATCTGTCAACAAAAGCTATGCTCTGGAATGAACATCCTTCAACCACTGACAATTCATACGTCAGTCCAGTTCAGGCCATTGGTGGCCACCAGGAAACTAATCCAGATGTATGTGTAGCAGGCCCAGTCAGCACACCCCCGTCCACTGGGACAGAGGTTTTTAAGCACTGCCAACCATTGTTATTCTCTTCCAGTAACCACAGTTGTACGCAAGTTCTAACCTTCCTATATGGCAGACGCTCCTTCTGCTCTGGCATGGATCCAGAGGTTAAGGCAGAAGGGGACTATCAAAGCAGCTACACTGCCTGAAACCTGCAAAACAAATTAGGAAGTGAGCCCTCTGCATGTTCCCTCTGGGAGTGGTTCAGCTGGTTTCTCCTCTGTTTGAGCGAAGGGCTGTTTGTTCTCTTTGACAGTGGCTTGGATGCTTTCGCTGGTGGGAGGTGATTTATTCAGCTGTGGATGCTGGCTCGGCCTGCATGCGTAGTTGTGTTGGGCTGTATGACCACTAGCTAATGGGCCTTGGTCACAGAGCCTGGATGCCCGCGGGGTGACAGATTCAAGAAACTGTCAGGGCAGCTTTGAACTGACATCAGCCCTGGAGTAAAATCAACTATTACCCACTAGATATGTGCACAAGAGAAAGACAGGTCTGTTTCATGGACTTACTGGTCTGAAGATATGAATGTCCTGGTTGCGGGTGATCAGATGGGCGTTCTTAGCAGTGCACGTGGCCGTTTCAAGCTTGTCTCCAGTCAGCATCCAAACCTACACAGGAAACAGAGACAGAAATCCCACTCCAGTGTCTTTAAACCCAGAGATAAGACTTTGAGAATCATCTTGATAATGAAAGCCTGTAAAGATTGCTCCACAGGCTTTTAAGACACAAACAGTGTTAGTTTAGTTCTTGTGCTTCAAACAAAAATAACACAAGTCATCACACAGACTGGTATCACAGCATCCAAATTCTTTCTCATTAGTATTTTGGATCTTGCATATAAGAGAATTGACATGGCTGATTCATCAATATCACAAAAAAAGTTTGGGGGGATTTTATCCTCAGATCTTGACATTTCTGACTCCACCCAAACACAGCTGAATTTCATTTTAACAAATTACATGAGTGGTAACTTTTAAAAAGCAATGTTCTGTTCGTGTGGTTTATTTATAAAACACACATTTATTTTTTTATTGGATGACTTTTTACAGAAGAATCTGACTCCATGTTCAGTAGTTTGTCAAGAGTTTTGGAAAACTGCACAGCCGCTGATTTTTAAAAATGTTTTAAATGCCATGATCCAAAGAAATTTGACTCTATTTCTGTCTGCTGTACTAAAGCAGAGGATGAAAACGGGCTTAGTGGAAAGACTGTAAGTTGAATCGTTATCATGTTTGTTGCCATGGTCACAATAAACCGGAGAAACTGAGATTTGTTACTTTTTGTGAAACATGTGAGCTATGCTTGTGCTTTAGCACCTATGAAGAGCATACTGGGAAAGAGCATCCTTTTCAAAGACTGACGCCGTGTCCACACTAATACGTTTTCGTTTGAAAACGCATCTTTCCTCTCCGTCCACGAGACAGCGTTTTGAAAACGCTCTCCAAAGCAGATACATTTGAAAACGCTGTTTTCGCGTTGCATTGTGGACAGCGAACCCAGAGCGTTTTTGAAAACGATGACACATTTTAGTCATGTGATGCAGTCATGTGACCAATTAAACTTAGATAGCAGAGGGCATTATACAGCAGTTGTTTTGTGACAGCCCTATTAAAGATTAATATCAGTTTGTACATGCTTCAGATAACCTTTCTTCAAATTCTTTAATTCTCACTCACTTTTGCAACTTAGTTGTTTTGTGTTACTCGCAGCAACAACTCCACCTCATTGTTAGTCCATTTAAAAAACTCGGTGCTTTTCCTCAATATTTTGCCGCGACGTTTCAAATAAACGGCAGACAGAAATGAGGTAGGTCGAATCGTCGTGCGTTTCACGCAAGCGCAGTACTGGAACGTAAGTGTTTTTGGCTGTTTCAATGTGGACGCACAACTCTGTGAAAACGACTGAAAATGATAGTGTGGACACGGAACGTTTTCACGAAAACGCCATTTTCAAATCTATCCAGGCTAGTGTGGACGTCGCCTGAATTGAACATCTAAAATCATCAGCAAATAACTAAAGTGTCAGTTTTAAAGTTTAAGGGATGGAAAAAAATGAAGGCTGCATTGAGACACATACAGCCAATATGAAAAACATATGTGCTTGTCTTCTTAGTTTGTTGCTACTGTGCACTGTAAGGCCATTTACCCACTCCACCCCACCCCACAGACCTTGATGCCTGCATTGCGGAGGATCTCCAGAGTGGGCCTGACATCAGTCTGGAGCTGATCCTCCACCCCAGTCAGACACAACAACTCCATCTCCATCTCAAGACTCTCAATCACTGTGGCCACCTTCAGAGAGCGGTCATGGACGCTGAGCTTGGCCTGCACGTACCGCGCCTGGAGAGTCGTAGTGGGAGGATAAGAAAGTTTAAATACTGTGAAATCACTGCAAGAAGTGAAACAGCCAGGAATAAAAGAAGAAAACAGGAATGTGGCTGTCAGCCAGGAGAGTCAAGAAAAACAAATAAGGAGTAAAATGAGCTAGGAATATGTCATGCATTGTGCATACATAAGGCCAAATTTGCAGTCTACCTACTATATACCATCCTAAATGCACTGTACTTTAAATACAAAAATCTGTGTATAAATGTAAACTGTCAAGCAGCCCTGAAAGCTATAAATATAGCTTTGTTAAACAAAATAGCTATACATACAGCACACTGTACTTACAGCATACAGGACAGACATAATCAATCAGTTAACGCCCATCTTTAGCATTTCAGCTCGAGGGCAATTTGTGAGTGAGATAAAGCAAAAACAATCTGAGGGTGACTCATACAGGAACATAAACTCTGTGTGTGACTCAGTTGGTGACTCACTGCTGCCCACCAGCTCTGCTCACTCAATTATACACTTCAGTAATAGGCCTGGGGCTAACAACTGCAGGGAAGACAGCCATGCCCTGCTCAAACAATGAGGGGGGCCTGGTGTATGTGAGGCACAGTGGGGTAGAAACACTGAAGGGGGGGTCAGAGGTTAGTCTAATTACCCAAGGACACTCTTTGACATTTAGAAATGCTGAACATGTCTCCTCCAAATATCAATATCATGTGTAATGCTTGTCAGTCGACAGATGCTTAATGTAACTTGAGCATGTTTTACTATCACACTGTTGAAACTGTAATGGCTTTACTAGACAGGGACCAAACAATGCATGCATAACAACGCTCGTAAACCTAAGCACACTTCAACAGCCCCATCTTCTCATACTTGAATCTGAAACCCAACTCTGAGCTGTCTTAGATTGCTGTAGGTCAATTTCATGGAGGGCTGTTACCTCAAAATCCTGATACTGCTCCTCTGTCAGCGACTTTTTGGAAACCACGAGGACTCTCAGACCTTCCCTCGCCATGTTCCCACACTAGAAAACACAGACAACATCTGCATGTGATCTAAAAGTATGTGATTTATTATTAACAGGAATAAAATCAGTGTCATCAGGTATGCGGCATGACTCGTGGGAAACATAGAAACATACCTCCTCTTCCAGCCAGTCGTTATACTGGACGATGCCTGACATCACCACGTCAGCACCTTTCATGTAGAAAGTGATCTCTCCTGTTGATTCATCCTAGAAAAACATTGATTTGTGCTTTATCATGTGCAAACGGTACATAAAATTGTATTTAATATTCGGTACAACGATTACCCAGCCGTGCTTCTCGCAGGGGGATTTCTACTCAGCGTGCACGAGCCAAAGTGCACGTGCGCCATTCTATTATTTAGTGTTGCCTAGAAATTCACAACTTATTTTGGTATCCACAAGAGACTTAAAAAGTGTTTGAAAATATTATCAGGAGGAAGTCAACTTTAAAAATCCCTGGCTTCCTGAGTAACATCCCAGCCAGCAATAATAAAGTTAGTCATCTGACTTAGTCAGAGGTCACAAGGTGAGGTTTTTCTCAGATTATACACTTTAGCACAAATCTGTTTTTCGTTTGTTTTCCTTGTTAAAGTCAGCACCGAGCAAGAATCAAAATCATAGCAACAACCACTGACCTACATTGACTGTAATTGAAAATAATTTCTAAGCAATGGAGATGTGAGGAAATCAGCAAGATGGACAGCAGCCACTACTAACACTAACAACTTGTAATAATATTAATTTTGGCACTCACTCTGACTATAATCCCCATCCTTTTGCTCTCATAAGTGAAGGGAAATATCTGAAGGATGGTGAAGTTCAGTATTTGGCCAGTAGGGGTCCGCAGCTGCATGGATGACTGGTCTCTTCCTACAAGTGTAAGGCCGACGCTCTCAGTCCACTGCACCAGCGACACCTATCAAAAGCACAGTGTAAAGGCTTTAGTGAGCGGTCATTAAAATGCACAACTGACACTAAATATATATAGAGCACAATAAGAATGCAAAATATGTAGCTTTTAGCTAATAACATACATTTCTACCAAATAAAATATTATCATCATTCAAGAACCCATTAAGAGAAAGTGACCTCTGCCTGGGTCATTTTATTATTTTCATGGCAAAAGCATTGTCAATATGATGTTCCATTACTTGAATTACACAGAAAACAGCGAAGGCCACTTTCAAGTAGACTGTCAGAGAACATCAATAGCTCGAGCATTTTCAGCACTTAAGACTATTGATTGAAAAACTGGGAAGATGTCCATTTCTTAACTGAAAATATAGTTTCTGCTTGTTCCTTTCTGAAGGACACAACAGACGACATCCATTAATACAATAGAAGCATGTGTGCGGGGGTGGTGTGTGTGTGTGTGTGTGTGTGTGGGGAGAGAGAACGAGGGGAGATGGCATTGCCCAATAACTTCCAGACTAGAAACCAGATCACGTTTCCAATTCATCATCCATCTTCTGCCAGGACGAACAGCAGAGAAGCCAAACAGATGCAGAAAAGAGACAACAAGGGAGACTGCTCTGCTCCTACAACAACTTTAAAATCACTGATTTTGGGATACCAAAAGTACTTATTTTGGAAATATGCACCACATGGCCTAAAAATGTCTGACCAGAAACGCTTTAGCGTCATCAAAGCTCTGACTACTGAAGTGTTTGTCATACAGGTTGGGAAGTATGAAGATTATGCTTAGTCAGAGTCTAGAAATATTCACTGCGGAGGAATTTTGGGATCGGGTGTCTGCCACAACAGCACTACCTTATAATAGAAGCATCTGAGTTAGCGTCCCATTTGTAACTGGACTGAATAATGCCTGACCCAGATGGTTTGACTCACAAACACCACATGGCTGACATGTTCTTTATGAGCCGGAAAGCGAAGTGATTCAGATTTCACTCCTCGTTGAACCAAACCATACAAACAAACATTTATTAAAATTTTAATAAATGTTGAACCAAAAAAAAAAAAAAAAGGAAAAAAAAAAACTACTTTCATCTGCATGCGGATGGTGGCAAACTGTCAGTTTACATTACAGTAGTAGAAACCATACATTTAACAGTCACTGACATTGCATCTAATGTGCTCACACACAAAACCAGATCTATAAATAAGACTTCCTGAAAGCTGTTGCAAAGCAAACTGAATCCGTCTCGATTGTATCAAACTGACTGAATGCAACTTTCAGGTCTCAGCAACTCAAAGCCAACTGTTTTATCCATTGTGACCTAAAACAATAAAACGGCTCCATTTCCTACCAACAACGCAAACCACTTCAACGAAAGACTTCTTTCTTTTCTTTTTTCTTTTCTGGTGACCACCACAGTGTATTGGGTGCTATTAAAATGTGCTATCGCCAAAAAAAAAAAAAAGGAAACTCAGAAGGGGCTAAGTGCAATGGGCTGAGGAGCACATTAAGGAAATCCGTATTTACATGGCAGGAAATGGATCGAGTCGAAATCCGCAGCCTTTTTCCTGACGTTCAAAAGAATTCATACTGATCAAGGACATCAGTGTGGACTGCATTTCTGAGACTCTCCCTATTCAAGAAATACAGACACTCTTGTAATGGCCTTGACCAAAAACACAAACCTACGCATCTTATATGCAGAAATCTGCTTCCCTGTTTTGCTCTTGGTCTTAGGTTTGGGTAGAGTAACTACATTTTAAACATTTCAAACTGAAACATCAAAAAATAAGAGTTCAGCTTTATATATTAACATATATCATCTGATGAATGAATAATGAAGGTGTAATCACACTTTCAACTTCAGCACGTTGATATGAAAACAGTCTTTTAGAGTCATCGTTTGTGTACGGATCAAAGTGAGGTAACAACAACCACAATATACTTATATTAGTTACTAGTTTTACACCAGGGGTGGGCAACTCCAGGCCAGTGTCCTGCAGGTTTTAGAT